GGTGCCTCCGACCGGCAAAACACCCGGGGTCAATCTGGCCAGCGGCACGATGCTCCATAGGGAACCTCTAGAAAAAGCAAAGCCAGACTGTGTGGTTACTGGTTTCCCACATTTCTGCCGGCCAGGGCCTTCATTTCTGGAGGGTTCTCCCCCTTTCCCGCAGCGGTGGGCAGGGCTGGGCCGTGGCCATGGCCGTGGTGCTGGGAAGGGGCGAGGGATGCTGGGACCGTGGCAGGACAGTGACTCAGCTCAGCCCGGTGGGACCTTTCTGCAGAAGCAGCTGAGGGGGGAAGGAAGAAGCAATACCTGTTACTTTCTATAAACATCAGCAGGGCAGCGTCAGGGTTTTTTCCGTTTGGTTCAAAAAACTCCTGCTTTGTGCTTAACCGTGGTGATCTGCAACCGAGAGAGCCCGAAAGGCCGCTTGCAGGGTGCCGTGCTCGGTGTCCATCGCAGGGACCTTGGAGGCTGAGCCTGCTCACAGGGAACGAACCCCAGGGCAGAGAAACCCAGCACCTCGCAGCTGCTCAGCCCTGCAGCACCTGGATGTGGCCCCATCATGTCCCAGCTCCTGCGGGAAGGTGGGAACCAGCATCAGCACCATCCGATGGACCACGGGGCTTGGAGTGAGGACGGGGAGAGGTGGCACGCCGTGGCCACAGGCACGTGCACGTGCGCCTGATGCAAAGGATGGGATCATTGCTGGGCTTGAGTCTCCAGCAAGGAAGACCCGTGGAGAGTCCCAGGAGGAAGCAGGAAGGCAGAGGCGTGGCTGGGGGGGGAGTGGGTGCATGGTTGAAACCACACTACGGGAGCTTGAGGAGGAAAATGCACCTTTGCACGTCACTGGTGACCGTCCATGTGTGGACTCGTCCCACGAGCGCTGAGCCTCGGGCAGACGGCAGAGCCCACGGCCCGTTCACCTGGAGAGCTAAAGCCGACGGCAGAGGAAATCATGGTTTCGGCTGCTCGAGCGAGGCACAGTGTGGCCCTGGAGCAGCGGCCCCATCTCTGCCCTCCTGCTCTCGGGGTTTTGCAGGGGAAACCGGCCTCTGTAAATAGCAGCAGGAGACTTGCAGTTTCCACCCTGGTGTGCCCTCAAGAGGGAACTGAGAAGCACTTGGGGGAGGTTTGTCCCTCCTCGCTGAGCAGACAGCAGGCAGTGTGATTTCGGCTTTAAAATTTTTGATATACAATGTGGCTGGAGCCCCTGGAGCCCCATCTCCTTGGCCATGCACCCCAGCAGCCTGACCCTCTGTGTCCCACGCAGCATCACCCCCCTCCCACAGACTCCGAGGGTGGTCTGTGGCTCTTAAGCACCTCCAAACGTGGTCCCTCATGAGCT